ACATTAATATTCTTATAAGAATATATATATAAAAAAAAATTAAATACAATTTTTTTTTTTATAAAATAATTGTTAGATATAATTGTTGTGATAGTTTATTTGCAATAATAATAATAATAATAATAATAATAAGATATGGAAAAAAGTTATTTCTAGAAAAAATAAAAGAAAAAAAATATAACACCCAAAAACAAAAGATAAGCTTAAACAACTATAATGTGTGTGGATATCTATTTTTGAGATGCGTGAAAATAGATAAAATGAAGCATGTCTATATCTAAAAAAAAATAATGGGTTTGTTTACCAAATATTTTTTATTGACATAATTATTTATTATATATTAATAAAAAATAGAGTATAATATATATATATATATATATACATTCAACAATATAATTAACATATATACTATATAATCTAATAAAAAGTAAATAAGTAAATATAAAATATTCTTTGTTATATTTTTATCAGTACAATTTTTTGTACTTTATATATATATATATAAAGAATAAACTAAAATATTAAATAAATACAATCAATAGTCTGATTTCAAGTTGAGATTTAGTTAGAAGTTCGATACATATCAAATGACGTCAGTATATACTGTTATCATGAAATATCGATCTATGCTGATATAAATTTTTATATTTATGTCATTTTAGGTTTTATAGTCAGTATCCTAATTTTTTATACAGTATACTGAAAAATCAGTATAGTATCAATATAAAAATATTTATATTATAAATTTTGATATGTCGAATATAGTTCAATATATTTTTACAACGGTATACAATATTATTTAAAAAAAAAATAAATTAGATACCGTATCGTTTCACCCTTATTTAAAACAAAGACAAAATGGACCAATCGAACGATCGAGCTCAACCCATTTTTAAGAATTTCCAATTGTCGCAACATTCTAGAGTTAAACTATTGATTAAGACAACTTAAAAATTTTCTAATCCCCCATTGTATGTACCTACTTTGCATGACTTTTCTCGAATACAATTTTATATATGTACAGACACATAGGACATGCATTTTCCTCGTTCACATGGTTTAATTTAGGAAAACCCCAAGAATATTGCATACATAAATATTACTATTATGTTGGTGGAAATAATAATTCCAAAGTACTTGAAGACATTTACATTAATCAATCAATCAAGTAAGAATAATTGGAGTGGACAAAGTGTCGTTACCTATACATACATATATATATATATATATATTTATTTGAGGGGGCCATGAACACACACCAATTCATTATAAGTGACAATTTTAGCAAGAAATTATGTTACACGCTTTTGACCAAAATTTCAATCCTCATTCTCGCATATTCTTAGAACAATCTAAGGGGTGTTAGGTTGTAATAATGCAAATACATTCGGATTGGAAATAGACACGATAAGATTTTTTTTTTTTTTTTTGAACTAGCAGACGCTATTGGCTTAAAGGATAAGTTGTGAACAGGCTGAATGTGAATCAAACTCCAACCTAAAGAGGGTTGAGGATTCGTCGTTAGATTCTATCCTCATTTTTTTGTTTGTTGATTGTTAGTTAAGATTTAATATATATATGTTATAAAAATAAAATTAAATTAAAATATGTTTTAAATATTTAAAGAATTATGCTTCAATATATATAAAATTTTATATAATATAAATAAATAAGTAATATATACTACTTACGTGCTGCTCTAAAATTCTCAGTTACTTTTTTCACGTTGAATTTTTAATATTAATTATTATATCAGAACGTAGTACAAATTAAGAAAAAATTACAAAAATATTTTCATTAGTGTCTTATAATATTATTATAATGATATTTGTGCAAAAAAATTATACAAATATAAAAATATTTTTAATGTTAAATACAATGACGTAGAATATAAATAAGACCCTTGGAGTAATACGGGTGAAATATATAATTAATATGGATTAATACTACATATTTAAAAAATAATAATAATTCAAATGTAATAAATATATTTATGTCTCAAAGAGTAATAAAAATAGAAAAATATAAATGAATCTAATCTTTAAAAAATTAGAAAAATAATTAAGATGAAAAGAAGTTTAAAAACATGATGCATATGTGACGAAACAATTCTATTAGTAGTATTAATTAATAATACACGATCTAACATTGTTCAATATAATATTTCCTTCGTCTCCTAACAATCTATTTATTTTTTCATTTTGGTCCGTCCCATAACAAAGTATTTATTTTCTTTTTTTGTAGTAATTATACTATTTACCTAACATTACAAATACCCTTCTAATTTACAATATATTACATAAATGTCATTACCTTTATATCATACAATATTAACAGGGTTAATCTAGTTTTTTTACTTTTATTTCTTCTTTATCCCAGTATAATACTAATATTTTCTAAAACTCCGTCCAAAAAACAAATGAATATATAAATATGAGACGGATAGAATAATATTTAATAAATGATCGATTCCTCTAAATTCATAATTATAATAATTACTTTAATAAATGATTAGTTTTTGTTGCTAAGCAGATGATACTTTTAAACCAAGGGCACATTATAAATTTCCAACTCAAAAAAAAAAAAAAAAAAAACATTGGGAACTGTAAAGAAAAAAAAATAAAGATATTTAAATAAAATAAAATAAAAAGGTTTGAAGGAGATGGGGATAAAGATTATTACATCTTTTAAAGCATGAATCTTTTAATTGCAGCCGAAAGCTAATATATGAAGAAGACCACCGTGACTTAAATTATTAGACTTTGTTTACATATATACATATATATACTTTAAAAAAAAAATTGTTACTATTAATTAAATTAACAATATATATTTTTTAGAAAAAATCGATATATTAAATATTTAATATTTTTTTAATAATTTTTAAAAATTTTCAAATAAAAAAAAAAAAAAAAATCTATCAAAATAAAACCATCAGAGGTGGGCATGCACCGGGTATTTGTAATTCAGGTTGGGTACTTGAAATTTCCGATAGTACGTATAGAATATAATTTGATTTGACCCGAAATTTTGAGGTACCTGGAATATTGGGCATCCGGTATTTTTACATTGGAATACCCTAATTTATCATTTTTATTTATTAATTTTGGGCTTAAAAGATCATTTTTACTATTTTATTTTTTATTTTATTTTTTGAATAGCTAATACTTTTCATCCATGTATATTATAATTTTAAAAAATAAATAAATATTTTGATCTTTTTAAATTAGAGAGTTGAAACTTTTTTTTATATCTAAATATATTATTAATAACTTAAGTCAATAATGGAATATATATTATAAAAATATAAGAATAAATATAATTTGGATCATATTAAAATGCATTGAAGAGTCTTGTAAGTATTTTATATGTGATTTTGGTGAAATAGATTTAAAATGCATTGAAGAGTCTTGTATTTGCTTAATTTGCTGCTTGAAATTGTGATCGTGTTAATCGTTGATTTTAATATAATAATTTTAGTGTATTTTTTAAATGTAAAATTAAAAATAATTATTTAATTTAAAATTAAAAATAAATAATAAATATTTCTTCTGTCCTACTTTATATATCTAGTTTTTTATAAATACAGAAATTTAGATAAAATATAATTAGTAAATAATAAATAAATAAATAAATTAGTAAAACTAATTATTATAATAAAACTAATTATATATTAAGATTAAGATAACTAATTAATTTAATAAAAATTAAATGTGTATTCTTTTTGTGAAAACACCCAACATATTTTTTTTAAAAAAAGTGTGTTTGTTTAGTTTGAAAAAATATTTTTTTATCTTAGATATAAAAAATTATATAAATAATATAAAAATAATAAGTGTATAATATATTAATTATCTTTAAAGAATTGTGGAAGAATACTAGTAATATATATTACATACACTCTCATAAGAAAGAATATTCATTCAAACCAAAACACAAAACAAACTGATCCTTAAATATTATTAATTATAAAATTTAAAATATAATTATTATTTTTAAATAAAATAAGTTATGTAGAACTGATTAAAATAAAAATAATATTTCTTCCGTTGTAATACAATAGTCTTATTTACCATTTTTGTCCGTCTTAAAATAATAGTTTTATTTTCATAAATAACCATATTATCATAAAACTATCTCTATTTTTTCATTATTATTATACAATTATCACTATTTTTTACAGTAATATACTTGCAAGGGCAAAAAAGCCATTTATCCTTACCTTTTACCAATTATCAATACAATATCAATATTTTTTAAATCTCGTTTTCAACACAACAAGACTATACTTAGAGAGATATTAGCAAACAAAACAGAAAATATAGAGTAATAAACATCTAAAAAAAAATCAAACACGCCCTCAACTTTGGACAAGTGTCGTGTAAAATCACAACACCACAAAATTAAAGCAAATATTAAAACATGATGACAACACAAGGAGATTCGATCGATCTTATCACATGAAAGAAAAATTAAAAACCTAAACTTTTATCATGTCCCTACTATTACTATTACTAATGCTCTCTTCTAGATTCTTTTTATTTTTTTATTTATGTTTTATAAAATTAAAAAAAAAATATATAATTGAATTAAAAATTAGTGTTACACGAGGGAGTAGGGGCAAGCTTTAATTTTCAAAGTCGTCGTCGTTGACGTCCCACCACAGCCAAATTAAAACCCCCATGGCCATGTCGATCCAGTCAATATTTCTCACTTATAATTTTATTTTATTTTTTATATGATGATAAATATATTCTAATTAAGGCTGTCTTTCAACGCCACTAAGAACAAACAGTCAGCTCTTTGATTTCATCGAAACCCAACCCCTGTCTTCTTCTATTTCCCAATTCATTTTTATTTATTTATTAAACAATTAATTATTTTCAACCTGGGAATTGCTGCCTGTGCCCTTGAGCATTCCAACACCAAACAACCTCACCAACAACAAATAAGGATATTGTAATAAAAATCAAAATCAACAAATTTCTTACATATGGAGCTGAAGAAATTCAAGAAATTTAAAAGATGTTAAAGATCATCTCATGTATACATTCATACATACATATATAGTATCACTGTGCTGCAAACTACTCAGATCTTGCTCTAGAGAGAGAGAGAGAGAACCCAAGAAGAAAAAGCTAAGAATAAACTTCACATATGGTTCAATTTATCAAATTAAAATTAAAAATGAAAATATATAATTATATAAAAATTAAAATTAAAATATTCTAAGGGTTATGGCTTTGGGTGTAAATATAATCAAGATGGGCATTTAGTGATCTCCTCATCAAGCACTCATCTTCCCCAATTCCTTTGCAGCTTTCTTCCACTCCAACATCTTCTTCCCCAATATTACCCTAAAATTTAAAAAAAAAAAAAACAAAAAAACCCAATAATTAATTTTCAAGTCTGAATCTAAGAAAAAATCAAAATTAAAAATACATGTAAGAGTGATGAAGGTAAGAAATTGGTGGTTCAGATCTGAGATATATATATATAAATAAATAAATGTAATAAACTCACCGGAGATTTGGGGAGATCGCCGGCGGGCGTGCGACGGCCGGCGGAGCAAACGGAGAAGAAGAGGAGCAAAGCTAATAAGAATAAGCCTGTGGGTTTAGACATTTTTATTTTTTTTTCTTTTTTGCTCTTATCTGTTTCGATGGTGTCTTATGTTGCAATGATTTGTGAGTTTGGTTGTTTGAGAAGTTTGCGGGGAAGGGTCGGATTTATAGGGGGGCAGGTGGGGTGGGGTGGGGGGGTAGGGGGGAAGTGTGAACTCGGGAGAACGAAAGGGGGACTAGTTGGGTTGTATCGAAAATTGTATATGTATGTGTGTGGATATATTAGACATGTTATAAATGATTTTGTGGAAATAAATTAAAGAAAAAGATGGGAATTGAAATAGGAAAAGTCTACTCCATCATAATAAAATTTTGTGGTTTTCAATAATAATAATAATAATTAGAAACATTTATAAGGGCAGAATGGGTCTCCATTTTAAGTTTCGAATTGGTTCGGGTGGTGATAGATGCAATTTAATATTGATAAATAAATAAATAAATGTGAATTAAATAGTAGATTTTTTTTAAAAAAAAAAATATTATATACTCTTTTTGTCCCATTAAAAAATTGTCGTTTACTTTTTGCATATAAATTTTTGAATATTAATATTATATTGAGTTGCAATAAAAAAAATAAAAATATTCTATTTATTATTTTACATAAGTAAGTACAAATACTAAATTAGAAAATAGTAACATTGTTAAAGGACAAACGGAATTGAAAAATGATAATATTTGAATTGAACGGGGAGATTAGTAGATTTTTTTATTTATCTTGTTTTCAAGAATTTGTTTTTATACTATTCAACTTAATATTTTGTTCGATGTTTGATTCTTTTGTTTGTTTCAATAGATATCATGCATTTGAAGTTTCAAGTTTAGACTAGTTAATGACATGTCTATGTTGAAATAGGAAAATTACGGTGAAATATGGTACGGATCTTGAAGCTAAATAAAGTGGAACTGAAGTCCAAAATTTTTAGAATTTTATTTTATTTTTTTGATAACTTATGTATTCGTCGTATTTACATTTCAATATGGTATCAGAGTAGACGAAGTCATTATGTGACGTAAGTGGGTGAAGGAATGAGTCTTCAATACTAAGAATATCATAAGCAATAAAAAATAACAAAGGATTTAACTCATATTATTGTTTTCATATTTTATTTTATTAGTTTTAAAATTAGTTGAATACAACAACTCCCTATATCATCATCCTAAACATCATCACAAAATGAGGTAAGAAAATATTCTATTTTTATTATGATCCCTTATGTTCCTTCGAATAAAGATAATGACTCATTAAATCTCTTTCTCGACACAAAAAATCTACTAAAAAACAATCATTATATGTCAAAAATGATTTATATTGTAAGTAGACTATATTTTAATACATTACAATTAATATTTTATATATTTTACAAAAAAAAAAAAAAAATTGAAATAATTTATATTCGTCTATATATATAAACATTATTATACTTTTCGTTATTATTTTGCTATGGCAACACTATAGGATCATTATGCCAAAAAAAAAAAATTACATCTTTACTTCAATCTTAAAATATTCTTGTCTTTTGAGTTTATTCTTAAATTCTATTCTTAACAAATCCGAATCTTATTATGCAAAAGTTATATGAACCTAATTATCAATACCAAGAATACGTGTAAAGATGTGCCCTAAAATGTTAATCAATCGCATAAATACATCACATTGGTTTGTTTGATTATTATTTAAATTTGATTTAAATTTAAGTGTTAATTTAATATTTTTATTTAAATATTATTTTAATATAATATTTTATAAAAAGATGATATATTTTATTAAACCCGCACATTCTGAATTACGTAAATGTGTTTAAAATTATAAACAAACAAACTCTTAAGAATATTTTATTATAATTTAAATCATGATATTTAATGTTACCATATATAACATCACAATATTTTTATAAAAATATATATATTTTTTTTCTGGAGAAAAAAACATCAAAGTCAACAATTATGCTATCAAAAAACTAACAAACATAAAAAAAAAAAAAAAAAAAAAAGAGAGAACCAAGTAAACAAATCATAGTCCTTCTGTCCTAATACAATAGTTTTGTTTATCATTTTTGTCCGTCATCATAAAACTACCCATACTTTTTTTTTTTTATTACATAATTGCCACTACTTTATTACACTAATACACTCACAGGGGCAAAAAAATCTTTTATTCACTACCAATATAATATTAATATTCTTTAAATTTTATATCAAACTTAATTAAGAAATATAGAAAAAAGAGAATATATAATTATATATATATACATATATATATATATATGTGTGATTTGTGACAAGAGGAGCAAAAGAGGAGAGAGAACTGCTTGGATTTCATAATTCATCATTGATTGCCTTCAGATATGCACCATGACTTCTTTATTTCTATTTATTTATTTATTTATTTAATAGTCTTACTGTTCCAGTTAAAAATATTTTTTTAAAAAAATATTAATATTAAAATATTTTTTAATTTTTACATAAATTAAAATCATACTATTATACATGTAATTAATTTTATACATAAACTACATAAAAAAAATAGAAACACTTATATATAGTTTTACCTACTAATAATATATTAATAATATTTTTTAAATTTATTAAAAACTTCCAGAACTCTTTGGATTAGAAGAGAGAAATTCTTAATTAGTTTGATTTATAATAACGGAATAAAATAAAATATGGCGACCAATCTTTTTTGTTAGCCAAAAGTGAGAGAGTTGACAAGTTACTAATTACTTCTCCAAATAATTAAATAAAAACGAGTGGCCCCTAACGAAACAAAACATTATTATTATTATTATTATTATTATTATTATTATTATTATTATTTATTATTATTATTATTATTATTATTATTTGCAATAGCAATCCAATGTCCAATGTTGGCCTACCACCAAAAATTTGGTTTGCATGCACTCTAAAATAAATATAAATAAATAAAATAAAATAAAATAGATTTCATTAATTCAAAGTTTCCCTACTGCTTTAAAGTGGGAAAGGACCTTATTGCAACTTAGCTAGCTAGCATGTGTAAGTAACACTCCGCCTCGTCTGCAATAAATTACTTCTACATAAATTAATCTTACATACTTCTTTCAATTTATTTTATTCTCACTCATAAATCAAATCAAGCGTGACTTTTGGAAATTAATTAAATTACTCTATAAAATATTAATATTCTCCCTATTTACTTTTTATATATTTTAAATACTCTTATTTCTTAAATTTGAATAATAAAATTCCGAAATCATAAAGAATGTCCACATGCATATGTATGTTCTAGAAAGACCATGTAGTAAGAATTAATGTTGGATTTTGCATAACCTTGATTTGTGGATAACTAAGGCCCTACTTGCATAATCCAAAAATAACCTCTTATACAGTTTATGTATAGTAATTTTTTCAAAAATAATATCATACAAAATATTTATTTTATTTTACAAAATATTACGTCAAATATTTTAATTTTTTACAAATTTTTTTTAAAAAGAATTCAAAAACCCAAATTTTTAGAAAGCCTAAAGATACTATATTGTGATGATTTATAACTGTTTGTGTATAGATATATATTTTGACAAGTAGCCGTTTAAGTTGAAGAATTAGTGGGGAATTTGCTGACCTTTTTTGATGATTAGATATGAAGAATGTTTAACGGTCAAATGAGCAGCCCATATCCAGCGTATATATTCATTTCTTTTTTCTTTTTCTTTTTTTAAGTTTATTTTTATTTTTAAATATATATATATATTCTTCATATTGTGAATATATTTGGATAAGAGTTTTGGAATTTATAAAAATTTCCAAGAATGATGAAAACAATAGAAATTTATATATTTATTGTGATATTTTATAAGATAAATAAATATTTAATTCATGTGTTTTTTAACAAAATACTATTAAATAGAGTGTCAAGTATCTTAAAATGGTTTTATTTACTATTCAATTTATTTATTTATTTATTTATTATTATTATTATTATTATTATTATTTTGCCATAAGCATCGAATTTATATACTCCGTCCGTCCCAAATTTATATATCCATTTGTTTTTTATACGGAGTTTTAGAAATATTAGTATTATATTGGGATAAAATAGAAATAAAAGAAAAGACTAAATTAACCCTATTAGTATTATATGATATAAAAGTAATGATATTTATGTAATATATTGTAAATTGAAATGGTATTTGTAATGTTAGGTAGATGGTACAGTTACAAAAAAAAAAAAGAAATGGATACTTTGTTATGAGACGGACCAAAATAAAAAAATGGATAGATTGTTAAGGGACGGATGAAATATAAAATAACTTAATCAACTGCTACTTCACTTAAAAAATATTTAAATTTAAATATATATTTGAAAAAATCCATACATAAAAAAAAAGGCCTCAAATTAACAAACAATATTTATGCTTTCTTCGCTTCTATTTTGGGTAATTTTTATGTATATATATATATATATATTGAAAAAAACTACAAATATAATATTTTAAAATAAATAAATTTATAGTACAAGTTGTTTGAAAAAAAAAAAATTAATAATACTATTATTATGATTGGTCGTAGTAGAGAGCAAGAACAAAGATGCGAATCCATGAATACAATAAACCACTATGGTCAAACTATCACTTGTGATTTTCTGATGGATAAAATAGTTCGAATAATGCAAGTGTATGATTATTTGATTGAATTTATCTTTATTTTAATAATTTACTAAAATTAAATATTAATTGACATGTGGAGAAAGGTGTGCGTGACACATAAATGTCTACGTTATGTGGTCAACAAAACTTTTATTTGTTACGGTACGTACATTCATTAATAATAATAATAATAATAATAATAATAAGTAGGCAATTAAATAAATTTGTATCGAGATTACCCCACTGATCAATTATTAATATCCTTTGATTTCTAGAATCATTTAACACCCTATTATTTACACGTCGGCACAAATGAATAAAATCCAATTTATTAAAAAAAAAACAAAAATAGAGCCGTACGTAATCTCTCGTTGGATTTGGTTTTGAATTCTTGCCTGTGGGCGCAGCTTTTGCAATGTCTACGGGTGTGTTTGATTCGGGTTTGGATTTTGAGTTAGGGAT